AACCACTATGTACAAAACATGAGTTTGTTTGTAGAAGTCAAAGGATATAATGTTTATAGAAAAATGATATTTTCATATACTAACAATTTCTATTAAAAGCATAAAATAATACCACTTACAATGGCTCCCCCAAAATTAAGTACTAAGGTATAAGTCTACCACAATTTGTACAAGATTTGTATATTTAAAACTACAAAATACTGATGAAAGAAATCAAAGAAGACCTAAATAAATGGAGAAGCATACCATGTTCATAGATTGGAAGATTGAATATAATAATGATATCCATTTTCCCTAAATAGATCACCAGATTTAATCCAATTACAATCAAAATCCAAGCAGAATTTTTGATATAGAAAAGCTTATCTTGTCTTTGAAAGACAAAGCAGAATAGTGGTTGGTGAAATATGACTTATTTTAAGATTTTCTATAAAATTACTGAATCACGCACTTTTGCTCTGCAAAAACAGTGTCAGAAGAATGAAAAAAACAAACAGCAGGCTGGGAGAAAATATATGCAAATCACATACACAACAAAGAATATATAAGAATATATCTAGAATATATAAGGAATTCTCTGAACTCAATAGTAGGAAACACAAAATCCAATTTTTAACAGAGCAAAAACTTGAACAGAAGACTTCCCCAAAGAAGATATCCAAATGACAGAATAAATCCATCAAAAGATACTTAACATTATTAGCCACTGGAGAAATGCAAATTAAAACCACAATGAAATTCTATCACATACACTCTGGAAAAGCTAAATGCTAAAATAATAACACAGCAAGTTTCTGAAGAAGATGCAAAGCATCTGGAGAACACTGTTGGTGGAAGTACAAAATGGTTGGTGGGAGTACAGCCACTCTGCAGAACAATTTGGCAGTTTCATATGAAGTTAAACAAGCATCTACTTATGACCTAGCAATTCCATTTTTGAGTATTCACCTTAGAAACACAAACTTATATTCACACAAAAACGTGTGCCAGTATGTTTATAGTGGCTATACTCACCACAGCAAAAGGAATGGGAACCATCCAAATGTACTTTAGCAGGTGAATTGGTAAACTGTGATGGGTCATATAAGGTGTGAGAATTTAAGGAGATCAAAAACTAAGATGAATATATCAATTTTTAAAAAACTTATTACAGTAAAAGATGCATTGCCAAAATGATGGGACAAGAATGTTTGAGGTGAGGGGGAAGACTAATGGCAATGCAGCTTTTACTGTCACACATTTTAAAATTTAAATATTTACCATAGTTTGTGATCACATCTCATTGATAAAATGTGTACACCAATTCTGTCAAATAATAACATTACAGTGTATCCTCATCTACTGGATTTGGCACTGTGTGATTTCTGGCTCTTCCTCAGAGTCAAAATAGCAATGAAGGATAAGGATTTTTAATCAATTCAGGACATCAAAGCAGCCACAACAGTGCAACTAAAATGACACTCATGAGGGGCTGGGGATACAGCTCAGTGGCATAAGCACCTGCCTGGCAAGTGCGAGGTTGTGAGTTCGATTCCCGGTACTGCAAAAAAAAAAAAAAAAAAAAAAAAAAAATGACACTCATGAAAGAGGATTTCCAGAACTGCTCCAGAAAGTGGTAAGAATGGTGGGATTAAGTATGTTTAAAGTAAGGGGGAGTATTTTGAAAGGGATTAACAGCAATGTGTCTTTTACTGCAATAAAACTTTTTTTAAAAATGATTAAGCATTCATCTTTTTTGATCACACCACAGTAGTTCATATTACAGAATACTACTCAGCCACAGAAGAGATCAAACTAATGCTGTGTGCAGTGATATGGATAAGATAAAAACATTTTGCTGAGTGAAAGAAGTCATTCACAGAACAATACATAGTATGTAATTCCATTTGAAAGTTATTTCAATAAAAGAACGTAATATACGATTTATTTCAAATTCTAGAAAAAATAAAAACTCATTTACAGTAACAGAAAGCAAATCAGTGGTTGACTGGAGAATGACTGCAAAACGGCAGGAGGGAGTTGTTTGGAAAGATGAAATGATGTATGTCTTGCTGGTGGTGGAGTGGTGGTTGGTGGTGTACATGGGTGTACACACTTATTACAGTTCAAAGTTGAAAATGTTCCTATTTTATGACCTGGCTGGCTCATTTAGATATAATGCAATGTTTATCAAACTGCAATTAGAGATAAGCTGCCAGTGAATCACCAAATCTATTCAGGGGGTCTCATCAGAAGAGTTATTCATCTTGAAAGTAATGAGGGTCAAGCCTCAGGCCCCTCCATTTCCAAGGCCTGGTTACTAATTTTGTGTTAAGAATTTTGTATCCTTCCAGGTGTGGTGATGCACACCTGTAATCCCAGCACTCAGGAGGCTGAGGGAGGAGAATTGCTATGAGTTTGAGGCCAGCTTGGGCTAAATAGTGCGTTCAGCTTGGAACACATAGCAAAACACTGTCTAAAAGATAAAAACAAAAGTTGCATTTTTTAAAAGGAGTCCCCAAATCGTATTTATTTTTTTACTTTATTTTAAAGAGAGTAGTACATGAGAAACAAACAAACAAAAAAATAGAACAGTAGCAGCATACCAGTATCATGAACGTAAACAAATGAAAGCAAAAACATTCAAAGTGATACAGGGTCTCAAGACAAATAAATACAAATCAACAATGGTTGTTATGTTGCATACCACTATCCTCAACTACACTGCTCAGATTATCAGATGTAAGAATGAAAAATTGCTCAAACCATTGAAGAAATTAAAATAATTCTTCAATAAAACATTAGAGATATTAGAGAGTTTCACTAGACAAGATGGGAGTTCACCACTGTAATTCCATTGCATATTGTTACCTTAAAATCAGTTGCTCAGACCACCAGATACAAGCATGCAAAGTCGATCAGAACGTAAAAAATTATGAGCATTAACTGTTCATTTCAATACACCATCGGACAATACAGTCATCGCAGCTATTCATATATATGTTTATGTTTTGCCTTCCTTCTTTCTTTTTTCTTCTTTCCCTCATCCCAATCATTCCTTCCTTTGAGCAATTTCTTTCCCTTTCCTATCCATACTAACTTTAGAACCTGCCTCTAGGTAGCCAGATATTTTAAAATAAAATGGAATGGAAAATATGACTCTTTTGCAAAAATTTTGTTTGAGTTTATACAATGAATCAGATTGCTAAAATTTATTTCTTGTGTTTAAACATACTCATATCAACTGGAAATTTAGTGCTGTGTAGAAACCTATGCAGTGTACACCAGGAGATGTGTATTCATTCAGTGTAGCACTGTTTGTAACAGTAGATATTTGGAAACAACTCAAATGCCCATCCATGTAAAAGTGAATACACTATTGTATGTATAAAGTGGAATTCTGTAAAGCTACATGCTTCTGTGTAGTTAACTCTCCTTAGCACAATATTAAGATTTAAAAAGCAAGTTGAAGAAGGTCACCCAAAGCATATTTTTTAGATAAAATTTAAAACAATTTGAAAAGCATTACTATGTTTGATGAGTCTATATATCATTTCTAGCTATAGTCCAACAGTATATATAGAGACAAAGTATTAAAACATGTATGAGACATTAAAAAACAAACTCAGGATGTAATATGGTTATGTCTAGGAAGAAAGGAGAAAGAGAATGACGGGATACACACAAGGCTTTGATTTTACATGCAATTGTATTTCTTTTTTATAAATGATTTGAAGCAAGCAAGGATAATTGTGAAAGTTTAACAAGGCTGGTCAGTGGGTATGGGGATTTTTGCTGCATTATTCTGAGTCTGATGGCATTGTATTCTGTGTGCATATTACTGTAGACATTGGTAATATGTGTTAGCTCACATTTGTATGGTGTGGGCATTTACAAACATCTCATAATCTTCATAATGGCCTTATGAAGTGAGTAGGACAGAAAATATCATCTCTCTTCCATTGAACGGAAACTGGGGAGCCAGCTCTCTCATGTAGTCCAGATTGCACAGAAAGCCACTGGAGACGTTTTCTTGAAGCCCAGGAGGCTGGGTCCTGGTCTGAGCTGCTTGTCCCACTCACTCTTCCCCAGCTTGGGGAGGTGCTCAGTGGAAGAATGCGTGGTATAAATAATGGCCAGGTGTTTGCTCCAAAGCATTCATTCGGAAGTGCTGGGTGTGGGTCGGGGGAGCTCCAAGAATGATTTTGATGAGATGGACTGGTATTTAGGAGCCAGTCCCTAAGAAGCAGGGAGATTCTCTCCTCCCAGTCGCTGTCCACTGGCTCCCTCAGCGACCTTGGACGAATCATTTAACCTTTTCCTACTTACATTCACACTGCCATAAATAAATATGTGAAATTCACAGCTGCTCACTCGGGGCTCCTATGAATACTTTTCGAAAAGCAAGACTGATTTAAAATGCACCAGAACGCAGCTCTGTCAAGTTCAGTACAAACCACAGTATGAACCCACCATGCCTCAAGGGCTTTTCGCTCCTTTAAATGGCGTTGGCTTTTCAAGAAGACCGAATTTGTATTTTTTTTAAAGTTTAACAAATTTTAAATTACTAACACACAGCCTGTTGCCTACTTAGAGGAAAAAGTGAGCACTTTAGGCCCTAGTACCCCTTTCGTCAGTACTGGCTCCTGAGGATTTTGGAAGCAAGCGAGCGGTATGTTAACAGACAACGCTAAGAAAGCTTTAAGAAAAACTTTGTGAGTTCTGGGTATTCGCAGTATGGAAGAGAAGAACCAGCGCAGAACACCCCCGAGTCCTGGAAAACGGGAAGAAATACATTTAGGAGCCCGCGGGACCAGCGCGCCAGGCGCGGGTGCCCGACGTTCGCCCGGGGTGGGAGCAGCTGCGCTTTCGGCGCTTCTGGCACCGGCCCGGAGGCTTCTGGCAAAGGACCCGAGCCCTCTCGCGGCCAAACTGCCCTCGGTGGCCACAGAGCCCTGTAAGGCGCCCCGAGAGCTGGGACCGGGAGAGAAGGGGCGGGAGCAGCTCGGTGCGCGCTCGCCACGTGACCCGGCTGCCCACTTCGCCTGCGAGTTTGACAGGAGTTTGAATCGGACTCGGGGGCTTTCTGCTGCCGGCGGGCAGAGCGGCGGCCTCAGCCTCGGCGAGCGCGAGCGTCCGCGGCCCCGCCACCCCGCCCCTGCA